CAGCAGTCAAGCTTTCCCTATCTAGCAAAACCTAAGATGCCAGAATCACATGGAATTCAAAAAGGCATTTTTAATGCTAGTCAGGGCTGGAATCTTGAAAATGATAAAAGTAAAAACCTCTTTGAAAATTTCTGGGTTGTGTTCCCTCTTCTGACATCCACAAAAGTCCCTCTTCTCTGCCTGATTCCCACAAGCTCTCACAACAACCTACGTAACTATTCTTTCTCACAGATGGATAACAACAACTTTGTAAAGGAGGTTGGGATGAGAATGACAAGGTAAACCAATCAATAAGCTTTTATAGTGGAGAGTTGGCTGGAAGCTGGCTCTCCCAGATGCTTTAATCCAGCCAGCCACACTGGGAGTTGAAATCAGAGGTGAGTTGCTACTGGTTTGGCAGAACCAGTAATGGTATTTTTGCATGGGTCACAGAACCGGCAGCGACCTAGGCTTGGCACGCCCCCGAACCAGTTCCCTCGCTGCCGCTGATGCCGTCACCATGTTGTTTTCTAGTGACCGCAGATGCGCAGTTCACTGTAAATTGTTCTCCACATGGGTGAAGAACAATTTACATTGAACTGTGCATGCATGCGCACAAAGCGCATGAGAAGCGAACCAGTAGTAAAACCGGCAGCAACCTGCCACTGCATTAAATTCATGGTTATAAGTCAAGGACTACCTGTATGTGTCTACCTATTTAGTGTCCAGACAGTATATTTGTGATGTATCATTGGAGACTTAGGCTGCCATGTAATGTGAAGAGGGTCCTGGGTACAGATAAGACAGTTCCATCACTTCCCTTGCCTTCTTTGCACAAAATATACTCCCTGTGACAGGGATCATGTTCTGTGTTGATAGCGCATACATACTTGCCTGCTACATACTTGTCTGCTAACAGATGCAATGTATGAGAAAGGTCCCTTCTGTGTCTTTTTCTTCACCCATTATGTAGCTATGGAATATGTCCCCTCTTATCTGACCGTTCTGTATGTCAGAGTCCCAAGTAACACGCCTAATGAAAGAAGACTCTGAGGCTTGAGTTTCCTCAAAGTTCCATTTTATTAGAATATATTCATATTGGCACCTCTGGGAAAACCCGAATCTGAAAGTTTCCAGTTTTTTCCCACCCAGGTGAAAATTCAAGTCCCTACCCAGCACACATATGTCCATCACATGATCCAATCAGGCACCGTTCCAACTAGAGATGCCTCCCAGTGACACCAGTCCAGGTGCGGGGCAAGACGACCTTGACTCTCTGAGAAAGGAATTTTATTTAGACTATATATCTCCCATACTCCATAAAAATCCCCTCTCCCATTTTCCCACATTAGCAAATGTGGCAGGCCTGAAGGCCCAATGTAAAAGATGGCTTCCAGGCCTGACACTGTAGGCAACATCTCTTTGCTCTGTTTGTCTTGGTCTTTCTCACATACCATTACAGGGGAAATGGGGAAACACCTAACTTTTCTAAGTTAACTATATTGTGCATTATTTTTTTCAGATGCTTTCTTGAGCCCAATAGTGAGGGGAAGAGGAGAAGAACCATATAGAATACAGTCTATATGATCCAACAAGGTAATCCAGGAGAGGAGTGGGGTGTGTATTCAATATTTATTTATTTGTAAAATAATTTGTAATTTATTTGTAACTCTGGGAGGCTTACAATATTAAAAGATAAACCTGTACAAAACCTAATAATATTGATGCAATACTATAAAAACCCACCTTAATCAACCTTAATGGGGAGGGAAGGAGTAGAATGAGAATGGGAGGGGTGGATCTGTTGTGAATCTATCCACCAGTATAAAGAATAGATCTCTCTCACTCCCTCTCTATAACCAGCATATGCCCATTGAACATGTCCATGTCTAAAGTGCCTGCCAGGGTGCACAATGAAGCTCCATGAAACTTCTCATGAATTATTTTGCATGGAAAAGTGTTTTTTTTTTTCTTTGATCCAACTAACTCAACCCAGGAAGTCTGCTGAAAATTGAAGGGGGAAAACTGTTTTGAATTAAAGTAAAACAAAGAGTAATATTGACTGACCAAGAAATATTACTTAATGTAAAGTGCATGTTTTAATCCCCCTCCTCTAAACGTTCCAAACTGAGAGGTGGCAGGATTTCTGACTCACTTGGCTACTGGCCCACACACATTGTTCAGCATGTGCGGCCCCTCCCTTCCCTCTCCTCTAAAATGGCAAGCAGATCCAGGCAAATGCAAGCCATAAGAGCACATGATATTTCTCAGCTCTGCAGTTGACATTTTAATGGTTGGTTGATATTTAAAAGAAATAGGGGAAGGATGGCCAACAATTTTAGGGGGAAGGTATTGCCAAATCCTTGTTTAATAAGCAAGACAGGAATGGCAAGAAATAATCATTTGCAGAAGTACATGCAAGGATACTTGTTATTATGAAATTCAAGGTAGCACAACTGATGTATGGTTCCTTGGTTTATTTTGCGTTTGAAAATTAGGAGGAATTTAAATAACTGGGAAAATGTAAGCCTGAAGCTTGTTTATTTGTCTGAAGCTTTATTTAATTGCAGATAGATTTCTCAAGTACCTCCTCTGATTTTCTGATTTTTAAGTGCTTAAATAAGGTATGAGCTACAGTAAGTCCCTGCAATGATAAAGGGATTTTAAAATCCCAAGGGTTATCTATCAAAAATCATTGGGTATGTACCTTATTCCATTTTTCTTTGTAGATGTTTTGATGGAAGGAAACACAAGGAAGGAGGTAAAATAGGTAGGCAGACCTAGGAGAAAATGAAAGAAAATATCAATGAGATTTCTTGCAAAGGTCTACATTTGAGGCTGGGTAATGGTTGTATGATGACTCAGTGGCTAAGACTCTGAGCTTGTCGATCAGAAGGTCAGCAGTTCAGTGATTTGAATTCCTAGCATCATGTAACAGAGTGAGCTCCTGTTACTTGTCCCAGCTTCTGCCAACCTAGCAGNAGCACCTCAGCCACACAGGATGATACGAAACAGCCGACCAATCTACAAACATCAACTCCATCTACCAATCAGGATGCAACTACATAGCCAATCAACCCACTTACAGTATACATATATATGAATGGCGTGACAGTGTTACAATATTGCTTAGTGTGAATAGGTTGCATGATTGAATTAGTTTTAAACTCTTTACAAGAATTGTCATGGAACAGGATCCATTTGTGTCAGTCAGTCTTCTGTCTCATTAATTTAAATGCTTAAAGAAAATAAACCATTATGTCTTACATTTCCAGAATGGTAGAGTGTATTTCAACAGAAATTCTATGCACATGGATATGAAAAAAGATCTGTTTAGATCTCATTGACCTCAGCTCGCCTAGTGTTAGGGATTTTGTGGTGTAGGAGCATAGGAGCAAGTAAGACCCCTGATCCCTGTCTTCTGTATGCCAGAAGTATGAATAGGGAAAAATACAGTTCTTAAACTTTGGGCCTAATAGAATTTAATAAATACATTCATTTTACAATATAATACAGTAGGTTAAAAGAAAATAATACTCAATATTTTATTGAGAATGTTAATTGATCATCGTTATAAATACCAGAACAGTGCACAATAAAATTAACTATAAATAATTATCTGAAGTGCATTTCACAAACAACTTTAATAGTAAACTTGGTTTTCTATTACTATACTTCTAAAAACATTTTAGTACAGATAAATACTAGAAACTGAGAAGTCTCAAGGACTGACTTATATTGGGTGAAATGTTATTTGCTGAGTTGCTTTTTCTGGGAATATTGGAGAGAAAATATGTTACCTTTAAGTGTTTTTTCCTAACAGGTTTTTTCACAAATTTGGGGAAGGATTGCCCTTAATCTAATACTTTTTCTATGCTTTTACTGTATAAATATGTCCATCAGATCTTAGTCATGGTAACTGGTCACAGAATTATATTAGCCTCCAATTCTGCATCAAAATATAAAGGTAGAACTGCTCAAACATAACTTGCAGTGGCTGCTTTCCAGATGTTTTAAATAGCCAATCTGAAATCTAGCTGTTCCCAAATTATTTTCATCACAGCAGTGACCTATGCTAAGCCTGTAATGTAGACAAGTCCCTAGTTAAAAAGATTGAATTACATATATTGTTGTGTAGGTATCAATAGTGTAACAGTTATAGAATATAAGCAGCCCTTCTTCTTTCTCTATTGTAAAAGAAAGCATTTCTTTTAAGTAGAAACATATTGAAAAACAGTAATATTGTTTTCTCTTGCATAAACTGCACTACTTCAATTAGAAGAGGCTGAATTAACTCAGTCTCCAAGTGAGTCTACAATCTGAGATTATTTATCTAGGAAATACGGAAGTGATTTTTTTTCTTGATACAAATTTTCTTGATATTTCTTGGATACAAAAGACAAGCATGGAGCGAGTTCTGCTCTTTTAAGAAAAACAAATAAACATGAATCCTTAGTAACATAAACAAACAAATAGCTTGTTTTGTTCCAAAAGCTCTACAGTAATCAATACCAGCCAAGGATAAAGAGCTGGAATTCAGTATGTGTTGTCTTAGGAGTTTTTGTATTGTAAAGAAACACAATACAAACACCAATTTTGATTCCTGGTAAAAGTCTATACTGAACACTTTCTAATCATCTGCTTTAAGATAAGACAGGTCCTGTCTAAATAAATAAATGTAAGTCCTATGAGGTTATATCAGTTTAAATGGCTAGAACCATACATACCATACCATAACAGTGACTGAACTCTGAGCAATTTAAATGCTGATGGTTTTATTTTTTTAAAGCCCAAAATAGTTTGGCATCAAAGACTGCCAACATTATGCTGCAAAAGTTCAGAAAATTTATCCCCCTCCCTCTCATACCCCATAATTTAGGAAATCAGGGAATTAGGTCAATAATTTCTTCCCAACTGCATAAATTGTTTTAATTGCTTGAATTATTTGGGGTGACATAATATATTTACTGTATTTGTATAAATTTTCCATAGATAAATTGACAAAGTTAAGGATCCATCCCAAGTGTGTATTTAACAGAATAACAGAGTTGGAAAGGACATTGGAGGTCTTCTAGTCAGACCTTCTGCTCAGGCAGGAGCCCTATACCATTTCAAACAAATGGCTGTTTTGTATTTGTATAAAATGTATTACTGTATTTGTATAAATTGTGACAAATAGCTATTGTGTTACAAAAATTATTATGACTACTGTGCTAAATATATAGACATGTAGAATAAAAGCTTCAAATGGGATTGGAAAAAATACCAGCCCAGCTCTGCATTAGAAATAAAAGCAAATTTTCAGCAGATCGTAGCCAAGTCACTGTGATGCCTCTTTACTATCGATTTGCATCTTCAAGACCCCTCCTGCTCTCTCTTATAGGTCCTTAAATTAAACTTAGTCTGAAGGCTTTTCATAATGGTGGCACATTTGAATTCAGTCCTCTCCCTATAAAGACATATATGACCATTCCAGTGGTGGGTTCCTACCGGTTTGGATCGGTTCAGCCGAACCTGTAGTGGTTTGGTGGCCTGGGTCACTGGCAGCGACCCAGGCCTGCCATCAATGTTCCCTCTAATTTTTTTTCAGTGTGAGCGAAAAAGTATAGTGTTTGAGCNACCATGCTGCCTGAACTCAGAAGCCTCTGAAATGTAAAGATTTTGGGTAGGTTAGTTTACCTTAACCACACTTTGCCATATCATCTGAACATAACAAATTGCTGGTTAGTGAAATACAGCAGTCTATAACCAAGAAGACAGAGACTGACCTCCAATTTCACCTGTGGAAACTCATTCTCTTGGTCCCATGATCACAAAGAAGGAGAGCTGGCAAACATTTTTCAAGTCATCTGACATTAGTTAATGATGTACCTGGTTAACACTAATCCACATTTGGCATGCAATGGGCTGTTCAGAATCAGATACAGTTCTGAAAAAGGTAGTAGTTGTACCTTAAAGAGAGAAGGTATGGCTTGAAGAAATGCAAGGTATAAATGAAAATTTCTAAATAAAGTTATTTGAGGCTTTACTTGGTAGGATACAGTACAATTGAGACAAACTCCTTCTTGCTAGTTTTTAAATGGTGATAGGTTTTTTTTTCTATTACAGCATTTGATTAACCTTAATGGGCTCCTCTCCATGTATTTTAATAAAGTTATTTATTTGCTGCAAAGATTTGTGTGAAATGAGGACGTATGCATGTCTTTGTCAGATAATATTGGTATTTGGGGATGTAAAGATTACTTGACCCTCTTCTAAGATTGTAGTTTGGTTTCAAACTCTTATAGCAATTGATGTTTGCTGCATAGACCTGTCTTTCCAAATAGCCCTCCCTTTTGGATAACATTGAAAGAACCGTTCATATCTTATTGTGCTGTAATATGAAGAAGCCTGAGATTTCTCAGTTATAATTTATTATTTTTCATGACCTTTTCTTCACAACCATTTCTGTTTCGCATTTGTTCACAGTGCTAGTCATCCTGATCATATAAATACAAATTTAGAAACTACAAGAAAATTGGTTTTCTCCGGGACTGGAGGAGCAGCCAACAAAATACAGCATTGTTTGATGTTGCAAAGCCATCAGTTTACAAGCGTATGTGTATGCCAAGCTTGTTTTGGCATCAAATGGAGTGACACCTGTTTTAGTTTTAGGCTGCTTGCTATGAATTTTCGAACAATGGATAATTTTCCTGGATCAAAAATGCAGGCTACAGTCCAAACCTGAAAATTCTCTTGTCCTTCCTATGATACCCTACTAATATTAGCAATCAAATGACAAAGACAAATTCTTTTGTTTTTATTCAATGCAGTCATGACAACTAGGAATGATGGATATTGTAAATTGGAGGCTCTAAGTATAAAAGTGAGCTCTAGGAGGTATCAGCTTGGGGTTCGTTTTAACATCTCCAGGTAAATGAACCATTGCGTTCTGATTTTTGCTTTGAGGTCCTGCAAAGAAAAAAAATCCAATATATAAAACCACCTAGGCAGCTTTTGGTCATTGTTCCAACTGTTTGCGTAACTTCAAAGAGACCTTTTATTTTTTTCTCTGCTAAGCTTTTCTTATTCAACCAGAAAAGGACAGGGATGACTTCTTTAACAATGTCTAAATATTCAAAGATGTGTTTATCCAGCATGTAGTAAGGTTGTGTCTCTTAGGCTACAAACAATGAGGCTACTCTGTGTTTTTATATTACAATTGACTGTTAAGACCTTGAGAGCTTTTGGGAAGAAAGGAAGATGCAAATTAAAATAATTTCTCTTACCAGTTCATTACATTGCTGGGTTTATATCCTGCCTTTCCATCAGGAGCTGAAGATAATATACATAGCAATTCCCCCCTCAACAATAACCTTGTGAAATCGCTTGGGATTAGGGAGAGCGGCTCAGTAGTCATGTAACGGGCTTTCATGGTGGAGGATGGACTTATGTTTGAATCCCTCTGCTAACAGTCCATTATCCTAACCCACTGTTTCACATCCTTGGCAACTTTAAGATAGCAATAGCACTTAGACTTATATATCATTCCACAGTGCTTTACAGCACTCTCTGAGTGATTTACAGAGTCAGCATATTGCCCCCAACAATCTGGCTCCTCATTTTACTGACTTCGGAAGGAGAGAAGGCTTGAGTCAGCCTTGAACCAGTCAGGATCAAACCTGACTGTGGGCATAGTTTGCCGGCAATACTGCATTCTTACCATATCCAAGATGGGTGGATTTCAACTCCCAGAATTCCTCAGCCAGCATGAGGAATATTTTTCTCCTCCTATTAGAAATATTTTTCTTTTCCTACTAGAATTCACTTGATAACCCCCCTATTGCTTCAATATCAAACAGGTGAAAGTTTCTACTGATGCACTACATTATAGATCTGTATGCTTAAATAATACTACTACCTTATTTGGACAACCATGAGATGGAGGCAAAGTGCTACAGAAACTTCAAATTCTTTGCTGCCACCTAGTTATCATCAGGATTTTTGAAGCCAATTAAATAGATGTCTACATTTTTTTTCTTCCTACATATATTATTCTTCCAGTAGAAGTAATTGGGACATGGCAACAGAAACTTAGAAAAGGTACTATAACAATGAAAACATTTTTTTTCTAAAGAGAACAAAATAGATAGATAGCTTTTTTATTCTTCTTTTCCCTTAATTACTTGCATATGGATTATTCTTTCTAATATTTATGTTGTTTGTATTTGTTCTCATGGATTGCACCAGTGAGGCTAAAACCAATTTTATTGCATTTATTTTGTACAATGACAATAAAGGCTATACTAGAACTGCTAACCTTTCCCTCAGTCTTTGCAATTTTATGATATGGGAGTAAATCGACTCATGGCTGGCAGGAGTAAAATTGGATTTTTCTTCAGAATTTTCTGGCTGTTTTTCTCTATCTTACAGGATATTATTGGGCTTGCCACACAATGGAAGCCTGTTGTCAGTAGTTGCTGTGAAGGACATTGTCTCATTAAGATTGCTTCATGTGCCAAGTTAGGATCTGTCATAGGAGTATCTGATATAGAAGTGTCCACAAGGAATAGTAAAAATGGCAATGCACAATCCAGCTACATTAAAAATTATTTGTATAGATGCTTATCAGACATTGAAGGGTGTCTGAAAAACACAATAACAGAGTTGGAAGGGACCTTGCAGGTTTTCTAGTCCAACTCCCTGCTCAAGAAGGAAACTGTATATCATTTCAGACAAATGACTGTCAATCTGTTCTTAAAAACCTCCAGTGTTGGAGCACCCTCAACTTCAGAAGGCAAGTCATTCCACTGATTAATTATTCTGTGAGGAAATTTCTTCTAACTTCTAAGTTAGTTCTCTCCTTGATTAGTTTCCATTCATTTCTTCTTGTCCTGCCTTCAGGTTGGTTCCCTTTTTTATGGTAGCCCCTTAGATATTGGGGACTCATGTCACCCCTAATCCCGCTTTTCATTAAGAACTTTAACTTTAACTTTTGCATGGAGTTTATATTAGAAAAGTCAAGATGGTGGCCACAACTGAATGATCGAAGTCCGGCATTTAATACTGGAGAAAAGGAGGAGGGGCTTCGATCATGCAGTTGCAGTTGCCTATAATAGTAATATGTTGTATTTGTGCTGATAAATAAATAAAGGGAGACTAGTATAGATCTATTTCAAGCTATTTAGCTCTCATCAGCTAGCCATACCCTTACNAGCCAGCCGCCCGATTCGCCCAATCCGAGCAAAAGCCCAGGTCAATCTCCCCCCTTCCGAAGCGATGGCAACAGCAGCAATCAGCAGACAAGGTCACTAGAGGCTCACCAGGTCACAAAAACAAAATTAAGAGGCCTCGCAATCGCCGCAAATCGATCACAAACGCCGTAGGCATCACCGCGGGGCTGCCATCTTCACCGCCGAGCCCGCCGAGTCATGCCGAGAATTTCGAAGTCCGAGGCCATCCAAAGGTATCGGCTCCCCCTGGTGTTTGATCTTCTCGTGTCCCCTGGGTTTCAGTCATCCTGGGGACCTCTTTTAAAGCAATTATATAGCAGGTTCCAAAGGTTCCCAGCACTTTTTCGCCCGAATGTATTAACTTTCCTAGGAACGCTACAACAGTTTCTTTCATAGATTGTCAATGGCAAGCCGATCTTGTGGACTTATCAGGATTTGCCATCAAAAACAACGGCAAAAAATTTATTTTAACAGTAATCGATGTGCTATCTAAATATGCCTGGGCTGTCTGTTTACATGATAAGTCAGGATGGGGGGGTTGCCGATGCCTTCCCGAGCATCTTCCAATCAGGAAGGACCCCCAGAAAGTTACAGACAGATGCTGGAAAAGAATTCCTAAATAAACTTCTGAAGAAGCTTTTGGTACATTATGGCATACATCATTTTGTCACATACAGTGAAACTAAAATAGCGGTTATAGAGAGGTTTAATCACACTCTGAAAAATAAACTCTGGAGATATTTTACAGCTAAAAACACGCACCATTATGTGGATGTTTTGCCGGCCCTCATTCAGGGCTACAATAGTGCTTACCATCTCAGTATCCTGACAGCTCCCAATATGGTAAAGCGATCTAACGAAAAAGAGGTGTGGATGTGCCTATATGGGAAAAAAAATAAAATGAAGAGAAAGTTAAAAACCCTTAAGGCGGGGGAGCAAGTTAGGCTATCCAGACTAAAGGGAAAGTTTGAAAAGGGTTATCAGCAAACCTTTACAGATGAAATATTTATTGTCAAAGAACATGTTAGGAGGGGGGAAAGGGAGATATATAAATTAATGGATTATGTAGTGGACCCAGTACAAGGTTCTTTTTACCCAGAAGCATTGCAAAAGATTCCTAGTGACCAAGAATCACGTGTCTACAGAATTGAAAAAATACTCTGGAAAAGAGGGAGTGGAAAACAAAGTGAACTCCTAGTTAAATGATCTGGTTGGCCAGAGAAATTCAACAGTTGGATTAAGGAGACCGAAGTGTATGACCTTTGACATGGCTGACTTATATTACACCGCCCAGTAATGCATCTGCAGCTGCGTTTCCCAACAACAAAAGTTCCAACTTTACTATTCAATTAGCAAAGGCACTGGAGCTTCCGGGGTCATGGGAAGTAGGACTGGTCAAGACATAGTACCTGCACACTTGGAATACAATAAATTCAATATTTTGAAATCTCTAATGAGAGAAAAAATGGGCATTTTTCTTTAAAAGCTGGACACTACACAAACATCCAGCATGTGATAGAAAATATGAATGAAGTTATGGCAGAGGTTAAAGAACCTCCAGAAGTATTCGTGAAGTATGATGCAATAGGCCGAAAAATCAGACTGAAA